CCCCAGACACCTAGAACATCTTCACTATGTACAGTCCTGAAAAAACTCTTAGTCTTGTTCTTCATGCACTGTAGCTCTGTGACTTATTTTAACACTTGGGATTGGAGAGGAGCAGAAATTATGATGGCTAAAGTACAATTTGACTTCAAGGTGTGAAAGGACATAGGTTGTTGCCACCGCTTAGTAAAGGAATTAGTAAGGAATCAGTTTAGGATTCATTAGCCCAGGCTGAGCAGAGAGTGAAAGCAGTTGTGGGAATTCCTTCCTGCACAGCAAAAGTAGAAACTTCCTATATTAGATAGGTTGCCATGTGAGACTGCAAATACTACATAACATCATTTTTAATACTGCTTCCTCCTGCCATAGCAGAAAAATCTATCCCACACATATGGTTTATTTAAATATTCTATTTTAACATTTGCTTTACCTGTTAAAAGCTCATTGCATTACTGAAAATCTTGATGCTTTTATGTTTACCTAGACAGCGTATCAAGAATTAAAATCATGACATTCGAAGTTAGGAAATACAGGAGTTAAAACCACCCTGTAGTAGCCCAGCCAGTATGTGCAATACATACTTCCATGTCTCAGTCCCCTGCACCTTTCAGAGCACAAGAAGATTAGTTAATGAAAAGCTGGACAATTTTATTTCCTCCATTCTGTTCAACATTTGACATCTCAGGCTTTCCTCAGAACTATTATCTTCCTCATCACTTCCTATGCCATTCATTAGTGTAGCACTTGCATGCTACACAAATATTAATGTACAGTATCTTCACAGCCTCATATGACACAAGGGGTATTGTCCCTATTTCACCAGCAAGTAACAGAGCAGTAGTGTGCTGTTATACACATTATTTTAGATATTTTATTTTACTGTAGCCTGAAGATTCAGACTCCTCTACATCTCAAAGCAGCATATTGGCTCAGTGTGCAGCTCCAGTTCTGCAGTAATGAATTTGCAAGACCACAAGCATCTCAATTTAGAGGCAGAAAATAGGAAGCTCAGCACAACTTCACGAACTGTTAAGTCTAAAATGACTGGCAACTGGCCATGAGCCAGGTTTGCAGCATAGTCAGAAGTGGATCCCAAGTCTATGAAGAAGCATAGTATCTTTTCTTTGGATAACAGCCCTATGTTACACACTCCTGGACTCACTCCATTCTAATTACCTAAAGGAGAAAACCAGAACGTGATCATGTAAACAAAGACCATCACTAGCTGCATAAGAACATGGATCTCAGTTGGGTTGCAGAGGCCCTTTTAATTTACATTTTTCACATTTTGAGCTCTGCAACTTCATTAATATCTTAAATATAGGTATTTTCATACTTTACTGTTCAACTTTAAAACAAAAAAAAAAGAAAGATGAAGAAGGACTTTGTACAAGGGCAAGTAGTGACAGAACAAGAAAGAACTGAAAGAGGGTAGCTTTATGTTAGATATTAGGAAGAAATTCTTTGCTGTCAGGGTGGTGAGGCACTGGAACAGGTTGCCCAGAGAAATTGTGGATGCCCCATCCCTGGAAGTGTTCAAGGCCAGGCCAGATAGGGCTTTGAGCAACCTGGTCTAGTGGGAGGTGCACCTGCCCAGGGCAGGAGCATTGGAATAGATTATCTTTAAGGTCCCCTCCAATCCAAACCATTCTAAGATTCTATGACCAAACACCAAATAGAGCTTAGAAATGGTGAATGATAATATTTATTACTGAATACCCTCGATATCTTCCGTAGCAGAAGAATGACAACACTCAAGAAACACCTCTTACCTCTCCACATATTGTGATTCATTCTTCTTTCTGCTTCAAGGGTTTAGTTTCCACTCAACTGCTTGTTGGCAGCGCATGCCAATCACCCCCTGGGGTAATTCAGATCTTCACCTGATCTTCACCCAGTCCATCCCACATCTCCCTCCATACCTCTTCTTATAAAGCCTAAGCATATCCTTGACTCAATCCAGTTTTCATCACACCTCTTCTAACAGCCAAAGCCCAAGTTTTCCACATGCCTGCTGTCCCTTTCCTACCTTGGCCTTCCCACCTTCTCTGTAGTGTTATTAAATAAATTCTAATGCAGATGGCAGGAGGGTAACATCAAAATTATAGACAAGGCAATGTCCTATCTCTAAGTGCCAATGCAACACTGAAGAATCATCATTTTTCAGAAAAAAATGCTACAATAATGAAGGACTATTTAGCTTCTAGTATTAATAGTGAATACTCTTGAGTTTCATAGAAATTCCTATATATATAAAGCTATAATTAGAAATGTTATTCTTACAGCTTTTGTAACTGACAGGAAACGGTCGTAGCTGATAAGGACGATGCTAAACACTGAAGCTGTGCACACGAGATAGTCCATAACAAGCCAGACCTTGCACAGGCCTTGTCCCAAGTGCCACGTCCCTGTCAGGGCATAAGGGATGTACAAAGGCATACAGAACACACCTATGAAAATAAAACAAGCACACATGTCAGTCAGCACTGTAGGGAGTGCTTGTCAAAGCATAGGAACATTTCTGTGGTATCTGAGAAAAGTAAATCAATACTGACTGGAATTGCCACATGGAAGGCTTTGTATGATCATGCAACCAATGAAAACTTTACTACAAACTAGGCACTAGTAACATTCTTACAATTAATACCTCTCTGAAAGGTGTATTGTGTTTATTGTGTATCATTATTACTTCTGTTAATATCACCTGCTAAAGGAAGGAGCAGCTGACTTTTTTACCTGCTGAAGTAAACACTATTCTGTATTAATTGCTGAAATTAAAACAAACAAAAACACCTTTTCCCCCAGTATAATTCACTAACTGCTTTCTACAATAAATTATCCAACTGCCATGCTTCTATCCTCTTAGAAGCATGATATGGTGTCCAAAAGTGTTACAGAAGTAACTTTTTATAGAAATCTGAGTTTCAGACTAATTTTTAAAACTGTACAATCAGAAGGCTGACAAAAACTGCACAGTTAATTAAACACACCCAGCATAACATTTCTTTTCATCATAATTCCTGATCATAACCACTTTTCAGTGGTGAGCTGATAGGGCATTATCTATGGGAACACACCAAGACATGGGACCATATATGAGTGGCCCACCCGTACCCATGGCTATCTAAATTTAGGCTGTTAAATACAAATGTTGTGAAAGTGACACTATTACCTTATTTTAATGAATTTCGAGGTGATCACCCTACACAGAGACACAATGCAGCCTTGGGAGGCTGAAGAGCTAGTGGTGGAGTTTGCTAGGATGCAGAAATGCAGTGAACAGCATGAACGCTGCAATGGAATGGAATCACTGCATCTATAGAGCAACTAATGCTTGCTCTTCTAAGCAAAATGCCATATCATAGATTTTACCATTCATGGGGGGAGAAAAGCTATGATTTCAACTTTAGATTTACTACATAATAGTGTGTACTCCTGTAACAGGTATTGAAGAGTATCTTGAGAGTCTCCATTTCCATAAAAATAACAGAATTCCTGTTATTCTCTCTCTACTAAGAATCAAGAGATTTCTATTCAAATCCAGCTATAGGTCCAGAAGCACAGAGGTAAAGCAAAAGTTGCTGAATGTCAAAATCAGATAGATTAGATATGTTCAAAGAATAAGCAAATGACTGCAAGCTTTCAGCAATTAGGATCATGCAGAAAGTAAGAATAATTTAGGTATACCTCAAGTCTAAATTATGTAGCTATGGAAATACAAACAAGTTTGACTCTAATGTAAGCAGAGCTTTTAACCAAATTTAGAATTAAAAACTAGACATTCTGGTAAACATAATATCAGAAAAAAAAACTTATGGAAATTAGGTAATGCCAAGTAAGCTCTACTTCCTTCTTTGACAGAGTACATTATTTACTTCATACTTCCCAGCTAGATGCTAGTATTTGTACACTGTGGTGCTACATTGTGAACCAGATGACAGAACACCACTTTATCCACTGAGAGTTTGGTTTATTTTTTCTGCTGACTGTGGTGTTTTTTTCCTGTATAATGCAACTGGACAGCAGGCAACAAGAGCTCTGTGGCACAACAAAGCAGATGTAACCTGGAAGAAGAAATCAGGCATATGGGGGAAGCATATGAGATCTGGACATCACAAGGACAGGACTATTAGAATCTGTGCCCCTAACAGAACTTCTGATACTAGCAATAAATTTTAAGTGGAGTTTTTTCTTTTCTTTCAGCATTCTTTTTAAATGTGTGGCTAAAAAATAGTAGAATAAAAACAGTTTAAAAATATTTTTTTGTGATATGACAAGTCAGAATATGGATTTCATAAAATAGCCACAACTGTTCAAAACCATCCTTCTACACACCCAATAATCTAATAAGACTTTTAGCAAAGAAACTCAGCACTTCACAGAATATTGTAATACATCAATCTTCAACTACATATCACATTTGTGTCTTAATTGTACTTAGTCTCAGTACACGTTCAAAATTAAATGTGTCCCTATTTACAAATATATACATGTAAAATCAAACTTCTTAGTAACTGTTTGTTATTCTTATTTACCTATACAAACACATATTCCTAAGGTATTGCTCTAGATAGAGCATGTATAGCAAAATGTTTAAAAATACTATTCATCACTATTTAATAATCACAAACGTCAGGTGATTATCTGTATTGAGTGACACCAGACTGAAACAGAAGATATCGACCAGGTATGGAATATCTGCCAGGCAATACATGCTGTAATTGGACTATCTAAACTTCCATCAAAACTCTTCATAAACAACTTCCATTATTTGTTATTCTGTAAAATTCACACACAGTAGTATTTTATCCTGAAGCAGTAACATTAAACATTACCTGTTTACCTGACAAAGCATCCATTTTTTTCTGAAAAATCATAGGCTAAAATACACCATGCAACTTCCACCAATTCTTTCCCTTCCCCTACAAACATCTGGGAAATAGTTATCTTAGAAGAAACCACACAGAAAATAAAACCCAGTGCTTCTCCTAAGATTCCCAGGACACAATTAGCACAGGCCTCCGCCACTGTGACTTACCCACTGCAAAGTCAGAAACAGCAAGATTGAGAAAGAAGTAGTTACTCCGATGCCTGAGGTTTCTGTCCAGGATGAAAGCAAGGATCACCAGGATGTTTCCAAGGATGGTGACCAGACATAGCAACACCATGAGGAAAGCCAGCAGCACCAACACGCCCAGGGAAAACTCAGAGCTCGGTGACTGGGTGGGCCGAGTCTCATTACACGCTGCAGCCACATGCAGAGTTCCGGCAGTGCTGTTGTGCATGTTGTGTATCCCGGTCAGTTCAGCCTGGGAAGAAAGCTGTATTTGGCAGAGTTATCCAAAAGGTTGGGATTCACAAGGAGTTAAAACAAGATGGGTCAAAAATCCAATAAACATCAAAACCAAAACTGTCTCAGGACAGGAAAAAAGTAAAAGCTTTTGATGCTAGATGAATCTAATTTTCTTAAGATATTTTAAACCATATAATTCTGGAAGAGTAACTTGTTAAGAAAGATGGGGTTTTTTCAAGCTCGTATTTTAAAATGCAAGTTCTTCTTTAAGCAACCTGATTCTTATCTGTGGAGGTCAGGATGGCTGATTTGAGGTTCTCTCTTGCTTTCCTCCCTCCCTTCCTCCCTCCCTCCCAGAAGTGTTTTGCTTGCTAGCATTATGGACAATTTTTTCTGAATTTTTTTCTCAATCCTATGTACATATCTTAATGAGAATTTAAGCTATTTTCTAATTTCATCCTTGCTTATCTGGTGTCATTGCAATTCAGCAAGTCTGTGGTTCCTCTCTGTTGTATCTTTTTGTTGACCAAAGACATGCTTGACTTCATTGTTGTTCTTTTTGTGGACTGTAGGGCTGAAAACTAATACGATGTAAATAACCATATATAGAATTACTTACCGGTTAACCAGTAATGGTCCAACCCTCAGAGATCACTCGCAAAACTTCCACTGAATCACTTTCAAAACTCTGAGCATCAACCCCAGTGACACAACATCAGCTGCTGCCACACCAGAACCGAGGAACTAAATATCAATGCCCTGAACATGCATGAGAGCTTGGCAATTAACAGGATGAGGCTTTTTTTCCCCACACTGGTGGGAAAAATCGTGTGTCTTCCACAAATGCTTATAGTTTGTATGAGTAATGAAGCTACTTGCAGAGAGCTGTGAGTATTCCACAGTTGTAAAAATTCAATCACTTTTATTACGGGTTCTAAAAACACTTTGGTGTCTAATTTTAGACACTTAAATTTGAAAAATGCTGGCTGTCATGTCTTTGCTTCTGTTGTGGGAACAAATTCATTAGCATTTGCCAAGTGCTTTTACTAAATGTTTGGACGGCTGCAGTACAAAAAATGCAGAACTTTATTATCCATACAAATATCTTCCCAGCACGCAAGTCCATTATTTCTTTAAGCTTTATTTCATTTCCAGGTAATGCAGAAAACACACTATGGCATGACTACTAAGTAATACCACTAGCCTTTCTTCTGCTAGCCATACTGAAGCCTCAAGAGTAAACTCAGCAGCTTCACTGTTTTTCATGAGAACCAACTGACCTTGCCAAATGGCTTAAATCTTGGGGTGCTTTCTAGGTGTATATAGCTACCTAATTCTTTTCCATCTCCATCCCTCAACATTTCTTCTTGGAGTTAACTTAGATTTAACTTGGTTTCTTGAAATCTTAAATATCCAGTTCTTCCACACCATGCTTGGAAAGCCTGTGTGTAGCAAGTAATCTACAAATATGCTTAACAGTGGATCCACTAAATGAGCTTTTAGAAGAATTATTGTGTGGCTATAACTATGATTAAATCAGTATAGAACACAGGTCTACACAGAAAAATATCTAAAGTAGCTAATAAACAGCTGATTTTCATTTTTTTATTCAAATAGACGGGTTAGGCAATAAATGCATACCACAGGTGAACACACGAAAAGGATCCACAGTAAATGTTCTTTTTCTCTTCTTTCCCCCACATTAAAAAAGAACACATATAAAACAGTAAAAGCACCACTCTGAATTACCTACAATATCAAGAAATTACAAACAGTCCAGAATTGCTATGCTGCACTAAAACAATTATCTTCACTTTTAAAAGTTAAGGGTAGTAGATTTTAAAAACGTCACCTTTTCATATTTCAGCATGGAAGATCTCCAGATACATGTAGGACATTTATAAGAACTGTTAAGTCTCAGAACCACTTGTAAGCTTGTAAGAATAACAGTTCTGCTTCCACTGCTCAACTGTCTTGAATTAATTAAGGCTCTTCTACCTACAGTCTCTGTTTGAAAGAGAAATCACCTACCAGTTCTTCAGAAGGTACTTGGCTAACAAAATAGCCCAATCAGAGAGCAGATACAAAGTCTTGGTCTGGTCACTGAAGTTTGAGACACAAAGAAAAATAAATCATTCTGATACTACCTTGTCGGAGACTGTGGTACTGTAATGGCTAGTCTGTTTTCATCCATACTCCCAATTCACTTCCAGAATAGCAAAGCAAAAACAGTAACATAAAGAGATTAGACAACAGAGTGGCCAAAAAGACAAAATAAAAGCCACAATCCACCTTTTCCTGCTAGTGTTTGATACTTCATTGACATATTTTTATGACAGGCAACTGTACTTTAGGTATAAATTAATTCCATACTCCTTTTCTTCTTTTTGACAGATAATGAAATTTGTTACTCTTCCACAAGTAGGGACTATGTCTTAAACAAATTCATAATATTTGATAACAAAAATGGTCAAACCTGCTGCTTTGGTTTAACATTATTTTTAATTTTCAAACAGAATTTATAAAGTTAAGAGTTGTTGCCAGCCATTTTTGTAACCTCCTTCCCTTGCTGGATCTTCCTCTTAGAATAAAGGAAGTTTAAACTTATGAAATGCTTGCAAACATAAATACAATTACTACAATCTCAAAACTCTCAGAAAAGCAATAGAAACTCTGCAATACGTAAGTCAATAAAGTACTTGAAGTGAATGTCAAAATTTTTACTTTAAAAGAGTCTATCTATAAGACAAACTATGAACAAGAAATACTTGTATGACCAAAAAAGTAAAAGACGCACACAGTGTGGATCTCCTTTCCTGAGAGGAAAGACATTTTTAGTATCACAAGTACAAATGCTAAGGTTGAACTCAAAAAACCTTTGCTACGCAGACAAGTTAGTGTAACTTCGCAAAACTGTTTTAATAAATCAATGCAGGAATCAGCATGTTTGTTTTGGGTTTTAATCATGTATTTTGGTGGCATTTTTTAAGTTACTGGAATTGCTAATCTCAGTTGCTCTATCAAACTCTGAAAGAGTTACTTTGATTAGATGAAGTCTGCTTTGAGAGAAAGGTTTTCTGGGGTACCTGTGCTGGAGAACTATAATGAACAATCCAGTGTAAGAAGCTATCAGCAAAAAGTTATATACCAAACTGGTGGTCGAGTAAGATAGTCTTACAATTACACCTTTAAACTATGTAAGTGCCACTGGAGAAAAGTCATTAGTCATGGACCTGACATATGAGCAAAATACATAAGGTGCACCTAACCTAAGGAAGTACCTCTGACTAAGAGGTCGGAAAGTTTAGGAAATAACTTGAGAAAACAAAAACAAAAAACCCAACAGAACATTAAAATCTACCCTCTCCAAGTGGAAGATATCAAGATATCAAAAAAAATTTCATCTCATCTAAATAGAAATATGACAATTAACTGACAAAACATCCTGGTGAGTTTGTTTTGTTTTACTTTTTTTAAAATGCATTAAAGCCTGAAAGCCATTAATAAAAGACTAGAAAATTCAAGTCTTTGTGATCATATCAATAACACTTGCTTTTTTTTCCCCACTCTACACCAACACAAGTCTTCAAAATGTTTATATCTTTATTACTAGATGTAACAGTCCTATTTCAAAATCCCCATGTACTTTGTTGAAACCATTGGTTCCTTTAATTATGCAACACTTAATTCTCAGCTTTTCAACAGGCTCCCAGAGTCCTGATTGTCTCAGAACAATCCTCAAAGAAATTTTTAGTAATTTCATCACATTTCTTAGTTTATTGCCCATGTTTAGCCTTTCTTATGTCACCAAGCAGGCCCTATCTAGCATCTGACTGAGAACTGCACAGGCAGGACCAGGCTCTCCAAGGCCATACAGCACTCGGCCACATGCATTCAGAAGAAAATCTGAAACTTAGAAAGTAACCTGGTGTACAAACGACTCTAGTCTCAGCCTTAATACAGAAAACTAGAGAATTCAATTACTAATACAAGACAAGACATTTGAATTTGAATCCAAGAATGGAGAAGATGAGAAATCTACATTAGTAATTAGTCTGCTGCTGTTTGTTGGGAGGGGGTGGGATGGGGTAATGGTTCCAGATGCTGTAATGTCCTCTTAAAAAGGAGCTGAAATGTATAAGAAACAGAGCAGTTGTGTCTAAGCTCTACTTCAGAACAGCAGAAAAAAAAAATCACAAAACAAGATGAAAATATATCTATATCTTTACTGAATTCTCTTCTGAATACAACGTATCTGTTGTACCAGATAAGGCAATAAGGTTCAGGTTTTCTTTGTATAAATATGTGCAAAGTAATATTTTAAAGTTTTTAAAAAATAAATTAGTGTTCTGTTCTCTTCTTGTTGTCCTTCCTTATCTTTTTGCTCTTTCCTGCTTGTCTAGATGATTCTTCCTGAAATGAAAAACAAACATTTCAAAATTTAAACAATATTCTTGTAAACACAACTATTCTCTCAAGGTAACCATTGAGAATTATTTTTATTATGAACAGTGTTCATAGTTCACTGGGATTTATGAAAATTTTGAGTTGTATAATATTTATCCATTCAGTCTTGCTATTTAGAAATTTCTGCCTTCAGCAATGATAAAATTATAGACGTAGCTACGCCAACAGAATATAATATAAAAATAATCTCAGCCATTTCCACTCAGGGAAGAAGTTACCAGTATAGAAATAATTCTATAGCACTATACTGCAGAACTCCTCTTAGTGTGGATGTGGCCTCATCACAAGATACACCAGGACATTAAAACTGCTTTGCTTCCCTAAGTGAAATAAACCTACAGCGGGAAAAACAAAATTTGGTCAATCTTGCTGGATCAACACTGTAATGTACAGTTTACTCTGACTGCCAATTCTGAAAAACAAGACTTTTCTCTGGTAGGCATTCATTGCAAGCACTCCCCAAAATGGTGAAGGAATCTGACACTACATCTGACAAGAACAAAAGACATTTTAATCTATTCCTTTCTATTGCTCACACACGGGAAATGGACTCAAACAGGTCGTTTGAACTCTGATATTCTGAAGTTAGCTGAAAGAATACTTTCTCCAAGAGCCACATCCATGGCACTAGAATAATCATTACCCTAAATTCCATCTGTTATTTTTCTGATGGACACGGGTAACCAAATATGTTTGTTAATACGCAGTAAAAAAAACCCAGTCTGCTTTAAGTTGTTAAAAATAGAAAAAGTAGGTATTTTTTTGGTACTAAACCTTCTCAGGAGAGTAAATACTTAAAAATCATTCACTTCCTTTTATTTTACGTGCAATGTTTTCAAAGAAAACACTGATAAACTGTCAAGAACATGAATCACCAAGTATATACAAGCACATTTAAAATGGAAAAAGTAAATAACTGAAAAGTGGAGGGGGAGAAATGCCAAAGAATGCTCAGCCTTCAGCCATAGCTACCTGAAATACTTTCATATACAAAAAACCCCCTGACAGCTGCATACTTTTTCAACTATCCATTAGTAATTATTTCCTACTATCTAAAACTCTCTGTCGTTAGCAATTACATACTATAATGCACATAGATATATGTAATATGGTCTTCTGAGGATGAAGAAGTGTTGATTCTGAGGATGAAAAAATGTTGAGAAACAAGAATGTGAGATTATTAAATGACCTGAGTCCTTTAACAAGTAAAATGCCATTCAAAGTCATTTGGAACTTTGTCTCCTGAGTTATTTAAGCTCCCTTGAAACATTTTACCATAATTTTTTCTGTACCAGTAATGTTACTTCACTTGAATTCTTCTAGTCTGGATGTTTTTTTAATGGTGTCTATCATCTATAATTCTGAAAACTTCTTTGAGACTAACAAAGCTTTCCATTTTGAAAATGCCTACTCGTTACAGAGATTCTCAGGCTCAGTCTGCCTGCAGACTAGAACTGGTGGCACAGGCAAGCATTAGAACTGGCAGCTTCCAGTTTTCTGAACACAGAAAGAGGCATTTCCCTTTATCATCCTCCCCCAGCTCTCAAATTTGTGTTTTGATCAATGTTCTCAACTGCTTCTACCCTTCTGCTGCACACCTCACGCTTACAAAACAGGTCACTAGCTTCCTTGGAAGTTCTCTGCACTGATCCTGTTAGTGCATCAAAGCAACCCAAGGATGATACAAGTTGCATTACTTTTCTTCTGGCTTCACCTAACAGGGAAAATTCACACAAGTTCACATGAAAACACCCTTCTAAGGGGCAGAAACTTACCACTGAAGGCACATAGTCATATTCCACAAGTACATTTCTTGCACAATTGTTTATATGTTTGAAACGATCTGGTCCTAAGAGAATACCTCCATACCAGCGGGACACCACAACTAACACATTGTGGACATTCAAAATCTGTGAAT